AAACGTCCTCGTTTAATGTCAGATAAGTTTATCGCGAAGGCTTAAGTATGATGTAAAACAAGATTTTTTCTTTCTTGTCCGAGGTTTCGACTAGCCTGTTTAGCTTTAATGCATGATTTCAGAAATAACTTGTAAACGGTAGAGACAGAGTGGGAAACATTTTTTCTAAATAAGATAGGAGTAGTTGTTGATTTTCAATAACATGGTTACATAATGGGTTCTATTGAAGGCAGCATCCAGATAAAAGTAATGCAGTAATATAGTTTATCATTAAAGTGATACATCCACGATTGAAGTAATATTATTTCAAAGTAGTTTTGCTCTTCATTTCAGTCAAAGACTCAATGATAACAATTTAAGAACGAATAATATACACACTCATAAATACATGTTAGGTCAGCGACACAGTGTTGGTTTGTTGACTGTTGTGCTGTTTATTTGCATTGATTGGTTACAGATGCTTTTTTGCCTGTAAAGTCTCACAGCTTCCACTTCTAAAAACTGAGACGACAGGAAATTTATTGACTACATCGTCAAGGGAAGGACAACCGGATATTCTAGATTCGTTATGAACTTTCATCTCCTAAAACGCCGGAGAGAAATTTCGAAACCCTTTGATTTAAGCTGTCAACTGAGATTTTACTATTCAAACCGATGTTTTCATAAAGACGTTCTCATTCATTTAATTGTGAGCTTAAGTATACAAGTCTTGCAAATGATTTAATGGGTTTGTCAGACAGATATACATATAGAAATTATAAAAATTTACAAAATACACCTCGTTGAGAGAATATAGGCACCAGATTTGATAGTTCTATTCGAAAAGCATCAGACACAATCTTATTCAAATATAAAAGTTTGTTGGTGGTATTGCAATTGAATCTTTGCAACTATCACGATCGATTGTTTTCAAGTGAGACAACGCCAGGCTAGTCGGCCGGAAATCCGTCAACAACATTTACTTTTTGCTACTGAAACGCAAGCGAAAATATTTGAAACGAATTCGAGCAAGGTAAGATACTGTATGTTCAACAAATTTCATTTTTCACTAAACCAGAATGTTGCGAACAATTTGAACTGTGGCTGCTGGTTGTCTGCAAAATTATGACTTGCTCTCGAGTAAAATGATCTAAGGAAAGACAAAACATCAATCTTCTAGAGAACCAGATACATTTCCTCTTGTTAAGGCTTCAAGCTGGGAGTATTTGAACCGCCCAATTGCGGAATTATGTGCATTTTGATTTAACAAAAGACAATTTGGGAAGTCCTGAAATCAACCAAAAGGAAAGCGACTCAGATTTCTTGATTTTAAAGGTCCGTTTTAAACTTCTGGGTTAGTAAGGGACTGAGAGACGGTCGAATTTTAGAAACTGCAAGAATCTTTAGTCATGAAACTTTTTCTTTCTTTCTCCATGGCCATATGATAGATATTTCAATGAAAACTTTCCGTTACTATTTTTTCGGTGTAATCTTATCGGATCAAAGCTAAATAATCTACAAATTTTACAACAAATAAATGTGACCATAGTCTTGCAGTTTTAATACAAGAAAGAAAATGTCACCATGAGACACATAACGTTTTTCATATTTAACTTAAATGTGAAAAACGATTGCGGCTCAGCAGATCGAAATTGGGATTCGAAAGACATAACAGAGAAGATAAAATGACCCCAACGGCGAATTGAAAATGCGTAAACAATATATTTTTTATTTCAATCTTCAGTTTTCTTAGCACGATGTCCAATGATAGTAGAATATTTTTAAATTAATAGAAAAGAAAAATAGGTTGTTTATATCTTTTGGTATACGTCAGAGCCATCGAGCGATTATTCTAAGGCTTTGTTCTCCATCGGATATTTAAACAAAATTATCTGTTTTAAAATATCTTGGTTCTCTTAAGGTCTCAAGGATGCGCAATTATGAAATGAAAAGCCTTTTCATGCAGTGCATGACTATGTAGCAAATGTTGGAAAAAAGGACAGTAGGAATGGATTGCGATTTTTAAATTTTTTGTTGTCAGTACCGCAGAGTGAAATTAAAACCTGTTTTTTTTGTCCGTTACTTGTAAGAACAACTGGTCTGTAAAAAACTATATTCGATATAACAAAGGAAAACGCCTCCATTGAGCCAAAAACTGTTGTAAAGTACGCAGGAAGCGGCTAGATGATTGACAAGAATAGGGCCGGAATAAATTAAACACAGTCAGGTTATCTCCCTTATTCTAGAGTAGTCTGTCGCTTCCTGTTACACTATCCACCTTCATAGTATTCAAATATTTTTTTTTCGCTTTAACCTCTTTGTCCTTTTCCGGCCCTGATGCGGCGTGTCGTTATTAGGGGCAAATGGAATAGCTTGTTTTTGTTTTTTTTTTGTCTGATCTGTGGTGAAACTTTACAACGCCGCATTAAAAATGATAGAAATGTGCTTCTGTGTCATGGTAACGACCACTTAACATTTCCAAAAATCAGAGTACAGGGTGCATCAAAAACTTTATAAGGATATTTAGAAAGTTAAGCATTATTGTTCATGCGCTCTTCTGAGGGGCGGATCAAAATTTATGTTAAGGCATAATAAGTAGGTAATAAGCAAACTTCAGGTTAAATTTTTGGTCCTGCTGGTGTATTGTTGTTTACTTAAATTACCCTTGATTAATGTCTTCAAAAACAGGAAATAGTGTATGGCCCGACTGCAAAACTACAAGTTTCCAAAAGTTATGTGCAATAAAACAAATTTGAAATAGCACTATTTTCAACACGGAAAACAACAATCCCATCATCCAAAACACTTTCCAAAAAGTTTATTTCAGAGATATCGTCTATCTGTTGACGGCAAATGCTTGATAGACAATAAAACTTTACATTTTGATATCTATGGCACCACGTGAAAACGTCAACTTGTGAAATGGTGAAGCAACATCCCTCGAGCCAGGCATGTCTACAATATTCTTTTCTTTATTATGAAGGAAGTGGAGATAAATATAGAACAAAAAGCTGTTATTTCTATTCTTGCTATTTTTATATCCAAAGGGAGTATTCTGGAAGCTCTTCAAAGGTGAATGTGTCAATCTTAGGGAATTTTCCCTCCTTCGTCTTTACTTTCTTCTTCCTTTATCTCGCTTACTGTTTGGTAATTCCACTCCTTTTATCTATTACTGAATTGATTTAGTTTCTTATTGATATCCTCGCTGTTACTTACCATTGGAAGACTTTGAAAGTACGACCAAAAAAATATTTTCCCCGTGTTTTTTTTGTTATTCAGATTCCAGTGTTTTAGTTTCAAAACTCAATGAGAAATTGATAAAACGATGTGAATTGAAACTATGTGAATAAAGACAAATGTCTTTAACAGCTGCAAAATAGCAGTCTCAACTTAGTCGTACGTGATGGTCAGAGATAAACAATTTGCTATGTCTGTGTAAAATGCCAGACTAGGCGACACTTCAATGCACACATCATGCTAAGACAGGAATTTGACTTGATTTACATCATTAACGGCCGAAAGGCGCAGTGTCATTAAAATGAATCATTGTCTCCCCATCGTGCTAATTACGTCATGCCACATACGAATTCGTAAAAAATTAGAGTTTATAATTAGCTAAGAAGAAGAGAAAGAGGCAGAAAAAAGTAGTGCTTAAAAGTAGATCGGAATTCTAGATTATTCTCAAGAGTTTCACCTGTAGAAGTTATTTCGTCATTTTCTTGATACGTTTTATTTTTAGATTAAGAGTGAAAAGCCATGTCCCATGTCACGCGCCATGTGCCCCTTAGGGATCAATAACAATGATTTCGACTTTGTTTATTAGGCGAAATTGATTTTGAGTTACAATTCTTTATCTTTGGGCCGAAACTATGGATATTAATGTTGAATTCAAGTAGATTTCCCATGGGAATCATGACATGTTGTCGCTGAACTAAATTTTAGTAGGTAAGTGATTCACGTTGTTTCAACGAGCCCAAAGTTCTTTTGATTAAATCTAAGAACTAGACTTGAATATCTACACGTTCAGCAAGGATCAATTGCCTCTGAATTAAGCTTTAATAAAATTTTCGGGATTTCAAGGTAAACGAGCATAAGTGTTGTCTTTTATTTTGTAATCTTTCTTGGTGTTTCCTTTTTCACGCGAAAGGTATTGCTAAATCTTCATATTCAATTCGATGGCATGAAGTAATTAGAAGCTTTTTCGTAACTATATGCTTATTTCTCTAGCGGAAGTAGCATGAATAACGTCGCCTAAAGTCGACTACATTCAGTGAAATGCTAGAGAATACAGCCAAACTGACATTTCTATTAAGTGCTAAAAGTGTGTCGAAGAAAGCATCGAAAGTCAAATGCCTAAATCATTCAATGTTTTAAATCAGGTTATAGTCTCGGTAACAATGTAAACTACTTGGCCGTGGTAAACGAATTAAGATAATAACAACTTCAATCTTTTCTTTAACAATTTCTCTAGCTGCCGAAATTATACGTGATGTTTTGACCATTGGTATTATTCACATAATGCATGAATCAACAAGACAATGGCATCTAGTACCTTTTTGAACTTCGTTAAAGAACTCTACCCTCGGTTGACATGAATCAGTTCCGTTAATTCAAAGTCGATTAAGTCACGGCCAGTCAATGAAGAGATTTTATCATTTATCATGATTTTTTTGAAGGATAGTGTGTATAAAGGCCCATTTTATTCCCGGCTGCTTTTATGAAATAGCAGGGGATGAAAATTTTCTCATAAGCATAAACATGCGAGATTGTGAATTTCAAATTATTCAATGATTTGTCACTGATATGTAGGGTCAACGCAGTAAAGTCGATATGGAAAATTGATATCATTCTTAAGATATCGGAGATCAAAATATAACCTTATGTTTACCTACCTATTACTTTATTGTTACAGTGGGTGAAAGCGGATTTCAATTGTCCAACTATCATGAGTCTCTGAGAACTCTATTCACTATCTTGAATACGAGAACAGCTTTCAGACGCCAAACTGGTGTTGTTTTATCATGGAAACAACACGTGCACCTATGCACTGGTGGACAACGACAGAAAAATCTATTTTAGTAACGACGCTTGGGATAATTATTGTTTTTGGAGTGTGTGGAAATTTACTTGTCATAATCGCAATTCTCCGATTCAAACGTCTTCGGCGAGCAGTGAACAGCTATTTGATCTTAAATCTAGCGGTGAGCGACTTCCTCACAGCTTCCATACTGATGCCATTTCACTTGGCTACCGTCTTGGATCTCAACATTATTGTGGACAATGGATTTCTCTGCAAAATTGGCGGAATATTATCGTATCCGTTCTACATCTGCTCAACTATAACACTTGTCATGTTAGCGATTGAGAGACATATTGCGGTAAGCGACCCTTTAAGATACATAAGTCGCGTGACAACTAGAACAATCGCCATTATGATTGTGTATTGTTGGACTCAAGGAGTCATTTTCGTTGTGCTGGTTTCGTCTATGGCTAATATTGAGTTTTCTACTCAAAGTTTAGACTGCGGAGTCGCGTGGGCGGGAACTCCATTATGGCTCAGTATTTTGGCTTTGCTACTAAACATTGTACTACCATTTTTCCTACTGCTTATCATGAGCCTGCGGGTTCTAATCGTAGCAATACGGCAGAAAAAGAGGATAGACACTGAAAGATTTAGAATTGATCGAACACAAAGGAAAAAAAGCGTTTTCTCAGGCAAGTATTGATCTAATTATTGCTATCGTATTCGTTAATGAGCTCATATTCTAATAATTTTCCTGAGGCATGTTTTTGGGCTCTTTTTGTGCACTATTTCTCCGTTTTGTTTTGTCTTCAATTAGTCAGCAATCGCCGCCGTCGATTGGCCGGAGAACTACCGGCCAATCTACGAACATTAACTACGAATTTTTATCTACGAACTACGAACAATCTAAAATCTTTTATCTAAGAACTACGTACAATCTATTTCTCCTAATATCACCACTGGATCAAATATTGTGGTCACGAGAATAAAGTAAATGATCACCAACTGAAGAAGCTCTTGATTGTTGAACAGATTCTCCTTATCAGCACTCCAGGAAATGTACTATAGATAACAGTATGGAGGATATGCATACTGATATAAAGCGTTAACGAGAGCAAACAAACGAACAAACAAAGTAAAAAATGATCGAGGTGAACAAAATATTGGTCCAGCATAGGAACTAATAGATTGTAATTTCAGAATTGTCGGGATGCTGTTATTGTGAGATTAAAGATGATGATACTCTGTTGAATGTTAAGGAAGTCAGTTTGATAGTTTGTTGCGCGCGTAGTGTTTCAGTTTTATCGTCAAAAGAGGGTCTCAAGCGGGAGTTTGCTTTTAAGGATAAAGGTTAAATTTTGGATATATTGCCGCTAACAGTTAATTTCTTTCCGTTTCGTACCCAGGCAAAACGTTTACGTGGCTTAACATTTTTTTAAACGAAAAACGGTTAAAATTGTCAGTTTTTTCGCCTAACGGCCTTGAATTTTTTTGCCTATTCTACGACTAACGGTTTACCCCATCGAGACCCTCCAGAAAGTAAAGAACAAAGACGACAAAGATTATGCTGGATAACATCTTATAGGCGTATTATTTGTATCTTCTTGCAGGACTTGAAGGCAAAGCCACAGTTGCTGTGTTGGTGGTTATCTTTGTCTTTCTCATTTTATGGATTCCATTTCTAATCACTCGAGGATTTATGGCGTTCACTCAGCTCTACATCTCACCGATAGTGACTACTTCAGTTGTGTGGCTGCTTCATTTAAATTCTGTCGTAAATGTCTTCATTTACACGGTGCGTAGGTCAGATTACAGGCATGCGTTTGTGTCAATCATCCGCTGTACATCTTTATCACGGTCTGCTGATATCGAGCGCACCATAACCACCATGCATGAAGCCGGCTCGAGGGAAAAGAACATGAACCACAGCTCAGGGACGATACAGCTTAACTGCACGGTCATAACGATACCTGACGTCACTTGAATCAATTAAAACATGAATCGAGAATAATTACTTTACATTTGGAAAATAACTCTAGGTAATAACTTTTTCATTAGGCAATTACTTTTCACTGATCATTATTTGTTTTCTAAGGCCGGTGGGGGGGAGGGTTAAGAGGAGTTTGTGTGAGTCCCAGTAAACATTAGTTGATCCCCCACTAAAGCTCTGTGTATTTTAATCGTACTCCTCATTTGAAGTCAATTATCTATACTCACCCCCTCCCCCTTCTTTATACTCTTTTAGTGACAACTAGTAAAAGGATACGCTTAAACGTAAGGCAGTAGGGTAGGGTAGGGTTAATCAACAGGTTTTCCGCAAAAATTCCCCTGATCCCCAACCCGTTGAAGTTCGTTCTCCCTAATATCATCTAAACCCTTCCCCCCTCCCCCTCAGCCGAAAAATTGTGACTGGTATCCCTTGGAAAATCATGTCCCGTAGTATGGAAATGAAAAATCGAGATGGCGAGTACAAAAAATTCTGGGTTACAAGGATGTCACGAATTACAGTCCTAAGGTGGAAGAAACAATTCAGTGTACACATTTGAAAAAAAAAAGATACCTTTTCAGTACATTCTCTTAATGTAATTGCATCAACACTTGGCTAAATTGCCAAATAAAGATTGAGACAGACACTCAGCAGGTTCTCTTCTTGTTTTTCTTTTTTCTCTTGTTAATAATTAATATTCCTTAATGAGTAGAAGACTTCACAACTTATATTCCTTGCTTCCGTTCCACATGAAATTTATAGCACGGAAAACTTTGCCACTTTTAAATATACTAAGACATACGACTGAGCAGATTATTTATAGTCTAATCTTCTTCGCCACCGAAGAAAATTCGTGGTGACCAGAGAGAGAACTTTTGCATGTGCTGTAGTTTCTTTTTTCTTATTCCGTATTCCGTTTTCTTATTTTAAAAGCTTCTTGACAATATAATTCCAACCAGTTTCAAGTATTCTTTGCCTTGCACGACCCTGCCGGCCGCAAGTGTTTTGATTACAAAAGGTACATCCATGCATGTCTCGCCACCATTTTCAATATCAGAAGTATCCAGTAAATCTTCCCGTACTACACTCTAAACTCTTGGCCAAATGCTACCCTCGGTGGTTCGGTTAGGTTGTCGAATATCAGCTCGGGGGATTTAGAGTGCACTCTCGAAAGTAGATACGGTTGTGTTTTCGACAACTATGGTAAAACAAATGTGTTGCTATAGTCAGTGATAAATGTTTGAAGCAAACGTTCGTAACCACAACCTCAGTTACTACAGCGGTTGCTGCCTGTACTGCACGACACTTCACCTCTTAAATGGACGAGTTTGAACGGCAGGATATAACCGCTGACATGCATCGTGAATAAAAGCGTCATCTCGGGCCCCAAGCAAACATCTTTTGTTTTCACCTTCTGCGTGCTACACTGGAGATGCTGAAAATTAATAAAGAAAAATTCGGCATTTAAGTGAGGAAGAATCTTCATCATTTACATCCATCTATAATTGCGCAGAAGCAAGCATCACGTATCGACATTGCTATTCTAGAAGTATGCAGGAAGTTTATCACCATGGACTAGTTAAGCAGCTTAACCTACCATGAGCCTTCTATAGCTCAGGGGAAGTGCGTTCGAAGTACTAATATCAGGAGGTTGTAGGATCGACTCCTATTGGGGGGCACTCGGAGATCTTTTTCTCTGAGTATGTCTCTGTCATTTACTGAACAACATCCTCGTTCATAAATATAAACAACAAAGTAATTAACAAGAAGAAAACATATCGCTATATTGATAAGCATTGCACCATCACATTGGACACCCACCAACCTTTTTGGTTACAGAATACTCCGTAATATCCAGGGACACAATGGCACACAAAACTATGGGTCTCATATAGCGGTTCGCAGGTAGACCCATACTAACATGGTCCTTATTCACACCGACTCTAATTATTTGATATAGAAACGATCAAATATTAGAAACACGTCAGCCGGAAAAAGAATCATTAACTAGGTAACTTGGCTTACTTCCATATCTGAGACTGAGGTGAGATTTTCCTTGAGTTGAGTTCGCATGCAGGTGTTGATAACATTCGTTGCTCTTGAAATGTGTCACTTCAAGTCTTCGTAGATCTAAGTATTTCATATATTGAGTTAGTAGAACGGAGTGAAATAGTTAACGGCGCAGCTCTAATGGCGGAGAGAAAAAAAGCGGGAGGCTTGGGTCGGGTCACAACCCGACCCACCCTCCTTTACGCAACTCAACCAAGTCTCCCTCTTTTTTCCTCTCCTTTGCTACTATCGTGCCGTTACTATTTCACTTCGAAAGTACAAAGTCTTTTCGTTTTAAATTTCAAGTAACAATTTTTCTCTTCCTCTCCCCCTTCGTATTCTTTTTGTATTCCCGCGCGGCGCGCGTGATTTCACAAATAATTAACCAATCGCGTCTAACCTTGACAGTCTGTGTATTGACTGAATTGGCTCGAAACGACGAAAGGCAATTAAGAAAGGACGGGAAAGCAAACCATCCGTTCAGAACGCGAGGAAGCATAGTAATTCTCGTGGGCGGACAATTCTACTTACGTACACTTTTCCCAATTCTGAGGGGGTGTCCGCTAACGAGAGAGTTGGATGGTGATATGATGATACGAGAATTTCGAGCTTATTTGTCAAATGAAGAAAGTTTCTGAACGCTGCGTGTTAATCAACGCGGTTAAGAAAAATTTAACTAACCCTTTAACTCCCATGAGTGACCAAGACAGAATTTCTCCCCACAATGTAAATACAATATCAAGCAGACAAGTGATAGGATTATTATTATTAGTCGATCTTTTCTCAAATTCTCCTAACTAATATCAGAAGAATTTTATGGCTAGCAGTAAAGATACCTACTAACGAGTATGAAAGGTTTAAGGTACAGTCACTTGTTGTTGTTAATCGATATACCACAACGTGACTTGAATTTCAACTTACCAAATATAATATGCATTTATAGTACATTTACCTGTCGGTAAATCGGTTCGTTTGCTGATTTGAAGCAAATATAATTAACTAAAAAGCGGATGTCAATAACTTTCCATAATGTTTCGTTGTATTGGGTTCAGCTTCGTGGTTTGCGATTATAATGAAAAACACATCAATATCTATCCGAAAACATTATTCTCGTGCTAACATCAGCCCGAGAAAAATCAATTAGAAGTGTTGGTAATTTATTTTAACGTATTAACAGTGCTGTTAGCGTACATCACAGATGGGTTTCACGTTTTTTAAAAACTGCATGCTGTATTTCTTTAACATTCTGATTCTTATCTTTTCAAACTGGTTAGAAGCTGTTAACCTTCTGCATATTATTGTTTTCACTCCATTTTCTGTTCGATAGCCCTAGATTGCTAATCTGCAATTAAGTTAGGTAAAAACCAAACAAGACAAAAAACAGAACGCAATAGAAAAGAAAAAAAAGACAACAAAAGAAAAACAAAATTAAATTGCTTGAAATTAAACATGAAGTTTCCAGATATCTTTTTATTTTTTCTGTAAAAGCCGAAACTGTCTTCACTAAACAAATGCGCTGTCCTCGACGAAAATTGCATACCCATTTCAGTTCAATATCTTTGCGAACTAAACAGCTGAAGTGAATATTGGCCGAGAACAGGGGCTTAATGTTGTTAAAAGAGATTTAATAATTTGACATATAATTTTCAATAACAACGTTGCTTAAAACGGTCGGATCTTTCTAGAAAGCAGGAAGGAAACACGAACTGAAATTTTTCTGAATCACTTTTTTTCAAATTTTTTCCGCTTAATATACGCGCGAAGCCTAATTCACCTGTCGAAGAGAAAGCATAAAAGAAGCTATAGAATTAATGATATGAGATCTTACAAAATTTCCGTGTTCGAGTAGGGTGTAAAACCTAACCAGAGACCAAGAAGAAAATTAGTAAATTTATCAATTCTTTTGCCATATATACAGATAAAAAGGGATTATAAAAACTGATACGGTAAACAAGAAATGCAAAGCAATAATCTTTTACGTGCTGGATGTGGTGAAAGTCCTCCTAAAACAAACAAAATTTGTCTTATTTGCCTTGAACTTAATGGAGCCTTGGATCTGCATGATAAACGTTGACAACTACACGACTTTCACACGCCCCTTGTCAATTAAGATCGACTTCCTTTGTTGTTTACAAATTTCATAAGTGAATTTTACGAGGTTTAAGCGTGCTTCGGTAAGCTTCAAACTTCAAACGACGGAGGCACCTGTTTGGTTATTGACAAAGAGCTGAGAAGAGACTGTCTTTAACGCGGAAGGAAAGTCCATTGAAAGTCCGCTATTAGCGAAATCCTTCAAAATATTTGCTTCCAATATGAGGTATGTTTTTCACTTTAATTCATCTCGATGCTGCAGCTACAAAATATGTGCATAAAAACAAGGCAAATATACAATGAATTAGAAATATTAACCCCGTACAAGATGAATATAATGTCTTATATCGATCAGTCATTAGAGAAAATTAGCTGGATAAAAAATGTGGCTAAAAAAGACACGCTCGACAAAAGAAAAAAAGATGAGAAACGCGTTAACATACTGTATCTATACTCAGATCAAAACTGATATTTGTTTAAAATAAGTAACATCAACTGCTGTTTCATTTGATGAAACCTTAGCGGCTAAATAAATGCATTATTATTGCTTAGTCCAGGCGGCTGTTAAATCCCTCCTCGCATCTTATCTCAGCGCACACGTTGAAAGATTTCCCCATGCGCTTGAAAATAGTCCCTCCCTATAAAAAACGATTACAGGTGAATAAAGAAAATTAGTCCCTTGCTGAGGTGTGCTAATGTAATCCATTTAATTCAAAATAACATTGGCAAACGAGAAAACAGAGAAATAAACGCAAATTATAAGAGTTTCGCGAAACTGGTTTGACAATAACTACTTGGTACCTAATTACATTTCCTGCGGACTTCATCATTCGAAACCTTTTAACACTGAGATGATG